CCCACTAACTTCTTATTTAATTATCGGAACAAGATGCTTAAAATAGTTTCACTGTAGGTGCTTTGGCTCATTTCGGTTTTCATTACTGGACTTGTTACGATCTCGCTACGGGATGAAACCATCACTGCACTTGCATTATAACTAAATGAATGTATTCTTGATTTTATTTGTTTTAAATGGAGGTTTCAGGTTTAATAGGTATCTTTATGTATTTCTAAAGAATTTCAAATTAGTCTTTTAATTGGAATTTCTATTTAAAGTTGGACCCTTTCCCGATATTTATTGTTAACTGACTACTGGAAGTTGTATTAAATAAAAAAAGTGATTGTAAGTGACTTTAATTTCTAAAAGAAACAGAAAACAATACTTGCAAACAACAAGAACACAACAAGCAGGAAAAGAAAAACTCAAAATTAGAAATAGAGAGAAGACATTTACCTCGGGACCAAAAAAAGCATTTAGATTTTGAATTGTATTTAGTAGTTAGGATGGGAAAAGTGTAATTTAGAGGTCGAGTCTCGGTTATAACGAGTAAATCGTCTGGTCCCTTGAGTTGAGGTGGATACAACAAAACATTTATTTTGTCCAAGATCGGTAATAGCGAGAAATTTTGAGAAATTTCGGAAACAGATCGGTTATAACGCGAGTTCCTAGAAGAAATAAAAATCCTGCGAGTCTCCATTACGTATTGTGTACCAGAATTTTTTTGGAAATGTTGTTTTTGCGCGCTAATGGTCTTATTTTTCTCACTTTCTCAGTCTTGAATAACTTTTCAAGTAGAGAACAATTTCGTTTTTCTGTATCAATATGTCGTCCTCGAAAAGAAAAACGTTTTCTATCAAAGAAAAAATATCAATAATAACAGAGTTTGAAAGTGGTAAAAAACAAGCTATAATCTGCAAAGAGAAAAATTTAGCTAATTCTACATTAGCAACAACAAAATATTACGACTTCAACTGGTGAATTTTCGTCAAAAGTGAAGAAGTACAAACTGCCAAAAATGCTAAATTAGATAAAGCCGTTCTTCAATGGTTTAAAGTGAATCGCGAATCCAATGTGCCCATAAGTGGGGCCAAGTTAAAAGAAAAAGCTAAACAAATTTGCAGAAAAAATTGGGGATTTTCAACAGATGAAATTTTTTGTTATTGGGTGCTTCCACCTAACCACGATGTCTTTTCCAATACCCTTGTACAATTGGAAAATGCATACAAGATAAAAATGCTTCATTACAGAAAACAAACAAAAATTACAGATTTTTTTTAAGTATTGTTTTAAACTTTTTTAATATTCGTATTTAATAAAATAATTTGCATAGCACATGTTTAAAAACTTTTATTATCTATGATTGTTTATAGCAAAAATCGGTCACAACGAGCAAACACGTTGGCCGCTTGAATTAACCGGACATAAATTTTGCAATATTTTTGTTATTCTTTGTTGTATTTCGACGAATTTTTGCTTGGCTTAAAGAAAAACTTTGTAGATCATTGTAAGTTAATTCAATAACATTTCTAGTTTTGTCTTGTAAATGTTATACCTAAAAGACGAAAGCACTGTTTTTTTACTTTTTTTATACTGAGCTGTAGTGTGCAAAAGACAAAATTAAGTTTTTACTTATTTCAGATTATTTCCCGTTCTTTTCTGAATGAGGACCAATTTGTTTCAAAATTTTGTCTTCTGGTGCCCCAGAGATAAGACGTTGCTTTCCTAATGTTACTAAATATTTGTTCAGAAAGTAGGCTACATAAAAAGGTAGTTAAACCGAAAATTATTGCTTATGTCATCAAAGGAGCACAATTACGCCTTTGAACACAAAAAATCTAAAAATCTGAAATCAGTAAAAACTTAAGTTTGTCTCTGTTCCAGACCACAGCTCAGTATAAAAATAAGTAAAAGAACAGTGGCTTCATCTTTTGAGTATCATATTTAAAAGACAAAACTAGAAATGTTATTGAATTAAATTACAATGATCTACAAAGTTTTTTCTTTAAGCCAAACACAAATTCGTCGAAATCCGACAATGTGAAAAATCGCAAAATTTTAGTTTTCGGGTTAATTTTGGCGACCAGTGTGTTACACATTCCACTTTCGGTTTTATTTCACTTTCAGGAATTGTCGGTAGTTCTGTAGTTTTTTTCGTTCAAATTATTGAAAATGTTACCAGGAACGAGATTTCCCTTATCCTAAAGTTGAACGCATCTTTGTATTTAGTAGATAGTGGTCATCTGAGAGATAACGTGACGATAATAATAATTGACGTTGAGTGAAAAATCGTTTATTATGGCCGAAGTTGGCAAAAAGCACGCCATCACATCCCAATTAGGCAGATAATTTTTCGAACCGCAACCGATTAGCACTGCTTTTAATAAAATATATCCATAAACACACATTCTACATTAGTGGAGAGCGAGGCAACACCGCCAGCTGGCTGACACTATCGCCGCATCTACAATATGCATTACCGAGCCTGGGAGGAAATACACTTGCAGTGAACTTGTTGGAGATCCCAGATAGGCGCTCCGAAATGACACTATCATGTAGTTTTTTCTAACGTTATGGCCAATTAATTTCGCCCTACACGTAATTACTGCCAAGATATATTTAATTGCCCTATCGGCCTTCGGGTATCGCCTCTAGGTGGACATCTCAACGCTGAAGAGGCTACAGGTCACCGGCCGATTATTAAACTTGCGAAATATTTTTCACTATTAAAAAATTAATGAGATAGTTTTATTCAAAGTGACGGCTTGACAGGTATTATGCTGTACACTTGACGATGTGTAATTATGACGCTGGTGTTTAATTGTTAACAAAAGTGGGAAATATTAATTAAATTAATTGCTTTATTGTGAAGGTAATAGTTGGAGTTACATGGTTTTTCTTATTCATGCTCATGACATAACTAGTTGTGCATGTACTATTTTCATTATACAGTGGAACTCTATAACGAGTAAATCGTCTGGTTCCTTGCTGTTTTGTATACTACTCTATGTAAAATTCTCCCTCTATAGCGAGTATTTTTCTGGAATTGAGGTGGATATAACAAAACTTTTATTTTGTCCAAGATCGGTAATAGCGAGAAATTCTGACAAATTTCGGAAACAAATCGGTTATAACGAGAGTTTCTAGAAGAAATAAAAATCCTGCGAGTTTCCATTACGTATTCTGTACCAGAATTTTTTTGGAAATGTTTTTGAGCGCTAATGGTCTTATTTTTATAACTTTTTCAGTCTTGAATAGCTTTTCAAGCAGAGAAAACTTCGTCTTCCTGTATTAGTATGTCGTCCTCGAAAAGAAAAACGTTTTCTATCAAGGAAAAAATATCAATAATAACAGAGTTTGAAAGTGGTAAAAAACAGACTGTAATCTGCAAAAAGAAAAATTTAGCCAATTCTATATTAGCAACAATTTTAAAAGATTACGAGTTCAACTGGTGAATTTTCGTCAAAAGTGAAGAAGTACATACTGCTAAAAATGCTAAATTAGATAAAGCCGTTCTTAAATTCTTCAAAGTGAATCGCGACTCCATTGTGTCCATAAGTGGGGCCAAGTTAAAAGAAAAAGCAGAACAGTTTGCAAAAAATATTGGGGATTTTCTAGAGATGGAATTTTTTGTTATTGGTTCCTTCCACCTAACCACGAGTCTTTAACAATTGGAAAGTGCAATTGATAAGATAAAAATGCTTCATTACAAAAAACAAACAAAAATTACAGATTTTTTTCTTAAATATTGTTTTAACCTTCTTTAATATTCGTATTTAATAAAATAATTTGCATAGTACATGTTTAAAAACTTTTATTATCCATGACTGTTGCGAAAATCGGTTATAACGAGCCCCTTGAGTTCTCGTTATAGAGGGGTTCCACTGTACCTACATATGACGAACATTCTTTTTTGGTTTCTCCAAAAAATTTTTTGGACATTTTGAAATGATTACTAATTTAAGTCTTCTGTTTTTTTATCATTACGATTTATAATTTTGCTGATTGTTGAATTTAGTGATTATGAAATTATCATGCAGACGCAAAGTTATTGATATATGTGTGTGAAATTCTTCGCGAAACTATCCAGAACGTAATTAAGCTCATTTAATTAAACTGACAGGGAACTAATACAGCGTATCCCCATAAATTGAAGTTTCGTGTATAGCAACATGACTATAATGATATAGAAACATTCCTAGCTCGACTGCCGTATCGAAACTTTTAATCTCTTCACTAAGTGCAAAACTTTTAAGGCTTTTTATAATATAGACACTGTTTTATAGCTAAATCAATTTTGCGCATGAATGGGCTTCGATTGAAATTTTAAATGTTTCCCATGCTTTTGAAGTAAAATTTAAATTATTTCATCTTGTAGCAACCACATTGTTATTAAAAATCGTAATCGTTTATTTTTCGTTGACTTTCAGAGCAATTGCCAAATTTCTTTTAGTTCAATTATTTATCTTTAATAGCAACAAGCTTTGGGGGATTTGCGAACGAAACTGAGAGTTTCACAAAGAAATAACAATGAATTGACGTGTTGTAAATAATTTATTTATGAAATAGACTTTAATAGTCGTAAAATGCAAAACCAATAATGGGTTGTGGGAACCTGTAATTTTCTTTGTAACACCCTATGCTAAAGTACTGGCTTCCAAGCTATTACAAGTTACTTCTTTGCATTACATGGTTTTAAATATACATATATACGGGGTGTCCCATCTAAGACTTTTGGATTTAATATCTCTTAGTTGCTAACGGATTCTAACGGAAGTTAAAATATAAATTATTTAGGTAGAGATTAATATCACATTACTACAACAACCGTAGCCCTTAAAATAAGTAGGTCAAAAAAAAACAACATAATAAAAGTTCTGCTTAATTTTAAATTGAGAAAATATGTGTTGAAATATTTTTTTATCTTAAGGTAATTTTATTAATTATTGTCTACATTTTAAATTTCATAAATTTATTACATTGTTGCTAGTATTCTAACTTATTTAATTTATTTTCAGAGTCGGATTCTTAGAACGTTTCCAGTTCGATGCAAACAATAAGGTGAGAACATTTTTTCCTTTTATTACAAGTATAATTTTTGTTTAATCTTAATTTATATTATTTTGACACGTCGGTGCAAAATTCTTCATCTTTAAATGAACACATTTCATTGAAATGTAATTGTGTAATTATAAATTTGTTAGCGCTATAACTCCATTAGCATTAATTAAACTAATTTGTTTATAAACAATTTAATTGATATTAGCGTGATTGCAATTTCAGTGGGTTCGAATGAATCAATTTCGAAAACAGAGTGGGAATTAAAAAGTTCCGGGTACAGAGCCATTTTTAGTTTTTTTCATAAAAGAAGTCGTAACTTTATTACTCAATATCTCAAAAACTATGCATAGGTACTCAAAAAATTCGAAAATTTTTAAACTTGACCCTGCACCTTTTTGAGTATTTAGCACCTCTAGAGATGTAAAAAAACGTTAAATGGATCAATTTTAAAGTTGAAATTTTTTTTGATTTTTGTCGAGATTTTGGTCGATTTTTAGTACCAGAACGGTTTATTGTCAATAACTCAGGACTTATTGGATGACCTCTTATGTTTGGTACCGTTGGATAGAAAATTTAATTATTTAATACACAGAAAATTTCTGATAAAGTCAAAAATATCAAAAATATAAATTCGACTATAACTTTAAAACTATTACGAATTTAGCAGTTTCCTTGACGCCAATCGATTTCCTGGAACATTTTACATATGTCTACAGCAAAATATTATATCATACAGTTTTTTGAAATACAGTTTTCCCGCAATTTACAACATAAAAAAAAGGAAAAATTTGTTAACACTCCTTAAAACTAGTGTTTTTTGAACATGATTTAAACCTTCTTATCCAATAGATTTTGTTTGGTTCTGATAAATGTTATTTAAATCAACGATGGTTGATACAATTATAGAAGAAAATAAAGTAAACTTTCAACGAAATGACTAAAATAAATTAATTACGAAAAGTTATTATTTTCGAAATTTATGTTTATCTAACTATTCTGCAAAATTTGGTTTGACGCACCTGACACTTGATGGATTTTTTGTCAAGGACGTGTTTAGGTTTTACCTCAGTGACATTATTATTGGTGTGCATCAAATTATTAAAGTGTAATTTCTACCGTGTCGTTGAACGAGTTGGGTAATGTTTCCAGAAATTGGCAAATTAAGAAATTTCTATAACTGTCACTCCTACTAAGTGATTTATCTAATGGAGTGTGCCGATGTGCAATATGTATTTTGTCGGAATTGTATCAACCAAAAGTCGTAAAATCGACTCCATTCCCTACGTATATTGCTTGTATAATTGTGAATAAATCATAACTTTTACGAGGCCACTTATTGGTTTTCCTCGTAAATGTTATTGGTGTGTTTACCTTCATTAGAATATGAATGTTTCGCTACATGGAAATGTTTTGTTATGGAAATTGATAGAGAAAATTGCTTGGACATCTGTTACTCACACGGTCCTCAGCAATTAAGTTACAATTACAATTAAAAAATTAAACAGATTTTAAGTCAAATCCGAAATTCCAAATATCTTCTGAAACATTTGCACGTGATTTGCCAATCAGTCATCATAATCAACAATTTTTTTAACAACAAAATCAAATTTTACTGCTAATGCAAGCAGTTGTTTTGTCATAACATGTCATACTAAGAAAAATAATTAATTGATTTGGAACTACAAAGTGGTTATAAATGTTTTTCATCTAGCCAGCTGTGAATTTAAAAAATAAAAAATGCCGCTTTACGAAAATAGGGGTACCTACTTGTTTTAACTCGAAATTAAAAAATCGCCGTTTACTAAGCAATTATAAGCTTGTTTTCTTCCAAAGTATACATTATTATTAATTATTATTCGAAATTAGTTGAAACAATAAAAGTTTAATTAACAACAATTTATTATTAATTAATAAGTGACACTAATGACAGAACTAGAGCTTTCAAAAAAGTAGAGCGGCACAAATAAAGTTACATGCAAAAAATTCCAAAGCTGGCTAGATGAAAATCATTTATAAACACTCTGTATAACGTGGTTAGTTGCAGGCAATCGAAAAGACAGGCCCACCTGTTTTTGCGTTGGCTTTTTAAATTTATAGATTTTCGTACCTTTAGACGAAATTGGTCACTCTTGGATTATAAAATGATCTCAAGAAAATAAAAATTAAAACGTTTTTGAAGATCTAAGAATACATGTTTAACAAACATAAACTATATTCGAACACCCGCAGTTTTTATTATGGAGGTCGCCAATTCAAATATTTATGGTTTTCTTGTATGTTATTCTCCCAGTTTTATTTAGTCTTTTTGTTTATTTTAATGAAGATATTTATGGAATATGTCATAAATTAATGACTGGTCTCTGTGTTTTATTTTGTCAATTTTTATCATCACTCCTTGTCATTAGTTATTTTAGGTAGCAAATAAAAATGTATGTTTTGCTGGAAGGTTAGTTAATTTATCGTGCAATTTATTTTGTTTTGTTGTTAAGGATTATTGCGTTGTTTAATTAGATTATAACAATTAATGTTTGGTTGGATATTTGCATTTGTCAATATAATTATTATTGTATGATAAAGCGTAAATTAAATGCTGATTAGTAGGTATTGTCGTTTTCAATGACATCCGTGCTGTCAAAATGACAAATGTTGGCATTACTTGCTGTTTCAGTTTAGTAATTTTGAATTTCTTAATTTATCAATTTACCTTGACGTGGCAAATTGACAAATTCAAAATTATCCATCATTTTTGACAAATAAAAAAATATGGATTTGGAAAAGTCTGCAAGGGTTTTCTTGTACGTATTGTGTACCAGAATTTTTTTTGGAAATGTTGTTTTTGTGGGCTAATGGTCTTATTTTTCTCACTTTCTCAGTCTTGAATAACTTTTCATGCAGAGAACACTTCGTTTTTCTGTATCGATGTCGTCCTCGAAAAGAAAAACGTTTTCTATCAAAGAAAAAATATCAATAATAACAGAGTTTGAAAGTGGTAAAAACAAGCTGTAATCTGCAAAGAGAAAAATTTAGCCAATTCTACATTAGCAACAATTTTAAAAGATTACGAGTTCAACTGGTGAATTTTCGTCAAAAGTGAAGAAGTACAAACAAAAATTACAGATTTTTTTCTTAAATACTGTTTTAAACTTCTTTAATATTCGTATTTAATAAAATAATTTACATAGTATATGTTTAAAAACTTTTATTATCTATGACTGTTTATAGCGAAAATCGGTTATAACGAGTTTTCGTTATAGAGGGGTTCTACTGTATTTTGTTTTGTTTTGTCAAGAGAACTGATTTTTTAATCTTTACAAGTTAATATTTACAATTTATATTTAATGTTTATTTATGAAATATTTTGTTTTTAATTGTGGATGATCAATTTTGAAAAACATTTGTTTATACAGGCTAGATTATAATATAAAATAATGAAGTTATGGTTTGGGACGTTTTTCATATTATGAGAAAATTATAAGCCTATTTTGAAAATAAACATTTGGTTATTGAGAATCATTTTTCTTATCTTCACAATGGATTGAAGATTGCTATAAAGAACAAAATCCTATAACGAAAAGTTGTTTTAATTTATTTTTCTTCTATAACTGACAATACCGCTACTTGTAGATGCAGTTAATTAATGATCTGCTCACTTTAATTAAAAACGGACACACTTCAGTCATAATTAACGCGACGGCAATAATATCAACCTGCCGTCAAGTGAGAAAGCCATCATTTCAAAAGTAAACAAGTAGGAGAGAATTTCAGAATATCGCAGTTTCGAAAACAATCAATTTTCAACTGGTCGTAATTAGAAATCGATTAAATGATAATAATTTGTGATAAGTAGTCGAATCGGATGGAAATTCTAATTAAAGCCCCATTGCATCCACACCTAGCGGACCACTCTCATGCATGTTTAATCATGAACGGCAAAAACTTTAATTTGAGTTGTAATCAATTTGCTCAAGACAACAGAACGCAATCAGGGCGCACTGATGGCTCTCCTCCGGTGGTGGTGGGGCCGCCGCCCCCCTATTAAGGGCAAAACGGCGACTGACGGTAATTGTGGTCGACGTATATGCTAAAACCTCATCTACTGTCTTGTGTAGTCAAATTTCCGAATTCTACTAACGATGATTTTCATAATTTTGTACTTCATTGTCATTAAATTGTAAACATCTTTATGCAATAAATTATATTGAAATTGATTCAACAATATTGGATATTGGTCATAGCTGCTGATACAGTAGGTTAGGTTGTAGTGCATCCATCCAATCTAATGCAAGTCCGGTGGTGAGTATCAATCTAATTTTTGACAGTCACGTCACGTTACGTTTCAAATAACTATTCAATATTTTACAGACGCCCAATATCATCTTCCTGTAGCGAAATTTACAGTGGAACAAATGAAAATTCATATTGTCAAACTGACACGTAGCTGACCGCGAATATATTACACGATTTATCACTCTAAAGCAAAATGCATTTTTATTCCATCAAATATTGTGTATTTTATATTTTAAAGAATGCACTTAAAATAGTTAAAACTTTATAAAATGTTTAATAAAAGAATTTAATAATTCTTGCTTTGGGAAAGCATGTCACATTTTGGAGTGTCAGACTATAAAAAAATATTCAAATTTTCAAAAAATATATACAGGTGAACCTCTATAACGAGAACTCAAGCGGCCAACGTATTTGCTCGTTATAACCGTTTTTCGCTATAAACAGTCATGGATAGTAAAAGTGTTTAAACATGTACTATGCAAATTATTTTATTTAATACGAATATTAAAGAAGTTTAAAACAATATTTATGAAAAAAATCTGTAATTTTTGTTTGTTTTTTGTAATGAAGCATTTTTATCTTATCAATTGCACTTTCTAATTGTACAAGGCTATTGTAAAACACATCGTGTTAGGTGGAAGCACCCAATAACAAAAAATTTCATCTCTAGAGAATCACCAATATTTTCTGCAAATTGTTCTGCTTTTCCTTTT